GCTAAAGCTGGGGTTGAGATATATGTTCCCCAATTTTTTGGTTGTCGCTTGGTTTTGGCCAGACATGGCCTGTTTCTATTTGTCTTTTTAAGAATTTAATAGACCGTTTTCATGTCATAAATAAAGCAGATGCACAAGTCATTGATGCCCGTAATAACCTTTTGATTAAAGGTTTCTCTTTGGTTCCTTTCAATCCTAGTTTTGCTACTCACCCTCTTTTTTACCAACTTTGGCCGTCTGTGAAACATAGACTTTTCACAACTGACGCCAATCGTGTTTTCCACATGCTGGATCAGTAAGGGATTTCCTTTACTTCTCCCATTCTTGCCCCTCCTGTATCCATCAAGGGTCCCTCTTCACCTGTTCGCACTAAACATCCGGCCTTTCCATCTATTTGTCCTTCTGCTCATGCTAATGCAGCCAAGGGTACGTTCAGTCTTAAGCAACCAGCCTCATTTTCACCAGTCTTGCATGTCGATGATGCTGATGATGATGATAGTGCTCCTCTCATTATCAGGAGAAAGGTATTTAAGTTCGTTTATTCGTAAAAAGACTCTTCATGGGTTAATGTTTTACTTGAATTTCCTCAGAAGAGTTCAACTTCTTATTCGAAGGCCCTAGTCGTGGCAGCCCCTGTTTCATCACTTCCAACTAAAGCTATTTCATCCAAGTCATCTGATGCAAGGATTTTGTCTAAAGAGAAGTCCATAAACCCCGAAGCTTCACCACAACTAATTAGAGAGTTACCACTTTCTCAGGGCATCGACCCCCCGAGTGCTGAACCAGAAGGTAACACATATTTTACCGCCTTTACCCCTGATTGTATAATTTGGCCCTTGATCCATTGCTTCTTAAATTCTGTAGAGATTCCCACGGATTTGCCTATTATGGCAGAACTTACTCGTTCAGACAAAGGGAAGTCTCCACAGCCACTTCATCTGCCAGTGAGGTGCCCTAATTTCTAAAAGCTGATGAGGTAGCTTTTGTTTTTGCTCTTCATCGACCAGTCATCCTTCTATTTCATCTACACCATTCTCAAAGGAAAACATGAATACACTTAAGCAGTCTATGTTTGAATATGTTTCTTTCATAGATCTGAATATCAACAAGGCCAATGCTTCCAAACAGAAAGAGAAATTTGATCTCCTAAGTGAGAAAATGACCAAGGCACTTGAGCTTCCCTCGCTTAAAATCTCATCTGATCTTAGGCTAACATTGAAAATCATCCACTCAGAGATAAATTCTTTGCTGGCTAAAAATATAGAATTGAAGGCCAAGAAGACTCAATATATTCGTGCTGTAGCTAAAAAGAAGTCTTTGTTCGAAGAAATCGAGAAGACAAAGAGCAATTTACGTGAGATCTCTACTGAAGTTATGGTTGAAGACTCGATGATGGTGAGTCTAGTTACAGATATGAGGGTGCTTCAAGCAATGATGGATGACTGTATGGCCAAATTGATTTCTAAAAGGCGTAATGCTTCCCAAGAGGTTGAGCGAAACAAGTCCTTACTCGAGCGTTACTTCAAGTTGGAAGTTGACGATGGGATGATGGTTGAACTATCCACCGCTTCTGATGAGCAAGATGGAGAATGGGAGAAGCTTAGACAACAAATGCGCTCCACCTGGGGTAAATTGTAATTAAGACATTTGATGCCTTAACTTTCCTTTTGTAATTTCGCACTGGCTATTATTGCTAATTTTGAATGTAACGGCAGCCATTGTCGTTAATGAACAACTTTTTTTTCATTTGTATATTAATTGACGTCTTCCTTGATCATCAACCCCCCCAAACATTTAATTGCCTTATGCTTAAAACTCATGTACATTCTTCTTTGGTATTCTCATCTCTTTTTCCAAGACTTTGGGCCATTTAATTTCGGTTACTATGCATGTATGTGGCCATTCATATTCTGCCATTTCATTTTCATGCCTCTAGAAATGCATATGTGTTCCACACTTATCATTTTC